TCAGGTGGTGATGGTGCAGGTGGTGGTGATGGTGCATGTGGTGGTGATGGTGCAGGTGGTGGTGATGGTGCAGGTGGTGGTGATGCGGTGTTGGTGATGGCACAGGTGTTGGTGATGGTTCAGGTGGTGATGGCAGGTGGTGGTATGGTGCAGGTGGTGGTAATGGCAGGTGGTGGTAATGGTGCAGGTGGTGGTGATGGTGCAGGTGGTGGCAGGTGTTGGTGATGGTGCAGGTGTTGGTGCAGGTGTTGGTGATGGTGCAGGTGGTGGTAATGATGGAATTGACAGTGTAAAAGGTGAGGGTGGGATTGGTGCTTGTGGTGGTGGTGTTGCTAGAGATGATGCTAGTGGTGTTGAAGGCGCTGGTAATGGTGGTGATTATGGTGAAGGTAATGATGGTGGTGTAGGCGAAGATAATGGTCATGGTGGTAGTGGTGATGGTGGTAGTTGGGTGGTGGTGGTAGTTGGGTGGTGGTGGTGGTTTTATTGGTGATCATGGTGGTAGTTGTGGTGGTGTTGATGATGGTGTTGACAGTGGTAGTGATAGTGGTAGTAGTGGGGGAATTTAGAAGATGGAGGTGATAGTGATGATGGTGCTGGAAGAGCTGTTGGTAGTGAAAATAGTGGTGGTTCTAGATGGTGGTGGATAATAGTGATGATGGATGGTGGTAGAGGAAGTCGTAGTGGTGGATAGTGGTAGTAGTGGCGTTAATAGTAGTATTGGTGGGTCGTGGTAGTTGTGGTGGTGGTGGATAGTCGTGGTGGTTGAGAATAGTGTTAAAAGTAATAGTGATGGATAGTGGTAGTGGTGGTAGTGATGAATAGTGGTGGTGGTGAATGATGTTGATAGTGATGGATGATGGTAGAGGTAATAGTGATAGCGGCGGATAATGGTGGTGGTGGTGGATAGTGGTAGTGGTGGATAGTGGTAGTTGTGGTGGTAATCGTGATAGTGGTGGATAGATGTTGTGGTGTAGGATAGTAATAGTGATGCATAATGGTAGTGGTGGTGGCTCATGGTAGTGGTGGTGGTGAAGGTGTTGGTTATTGGTAGTGGTGGCGGTTATTGGTAGTGGTGGAGGATAAAGGGGTGGTGGAGGTGAGTAATAGTGGTGGTGAATAGTGTTGGTGGTTGGAGGATAGTGGTGGTGGTAGTCGAGCAGGTTGGCAGGACGAGGAGTGTACTGGGTGTGGCCTGCCGGGTGTGGCAACCGGTATAGAATGTCACAGTGTCATGCGGTCCTCTCGTGCAACCCCGGTAATGCAAGTACCAGGACATGACCCATTACCAGTGATAAATTCCAGGTAACACAACTCGTCATACGTTCCATTAACACCAAGTAACACAACCTGGTAACATGTGACAGTACACCCCAGTAAAAAAAAAATTATTTCATCCCAGTAACAGCAGAAGTAACATACCCCGGTAACACACGTATCAACACATCCCGGTAACACACCTAACAACACACCCTGGCAACACCTGTATCAACACATCACGGTAACTTTTTTTTATTCATCCCAGTAACAGCCAAAGTAACACACCAGGGTAACACACGTATGAAAACAGCAACACGTATCAACAAAATCCCATTAAACACACGTATCAAAACATCCCAGTAACACCAGCATTATCACATCCTGGAACAAATCTACCACATTCATCCCGGTGTCATATCCCAGAGGTTTGCCTGACTGGAGAACTTGGCATTGTCACACGCACACACGCATGATTGCCTGCAGCCCGGTTCCCTGGGCCACTTGAGCATGCTGGCCACGCATCCTAATACACTGTAATGTTTTTTACTGAATCTTCTAATGTTGGGTCATGTCCTATTTTTTTGGTCTGGTAACACCTGGGGCGAGAGGTCTGTTGACTGGTGACCCTGTGGGAGGAGGGGGGTGATAACTGTTTGGTGACCCTGGGGGCTAGATCTGTTGTTTGTCTGGTGACCCTGGGGGCTAAGTGTGTTATTTGTCTGGGTGACCCTGGGGCTAAGTGTTGTTTGTCTGGTGACCTCTAAGGCGTTGTTTGTCTGGGACCCTGGGGCTAAGTGTGTTGTTTGTCTGGTGACCCTGGGGCTAAGTGTGTGTATTTGTCTGGGACCGGGGCAGTGCTGTTTTCGTGACCCTGGGGCGCTAAGTGTTGTTTGTCTGGTGACCCTGGGGCTAATTGCTGTTTGTCTGGTGACCCTGGGGCTAAGTGTTTGTTTTTCTGGTGACCCTGGGGCTAATGCTGCTGTTTCTTGACCCTGGGGCTAAGTGCTGTTTTGTTTGGTGACCCTGGGGCTAAGTGTTGTTTGTCCGGGACCCTGGGGGCTGTTTTGTCTGGTGACCCTGGGGCTAAGTGTTGTTTGTCCGGGACCCTGGGGGCTAAGTGTTGTTTTGTCTGGACCCTGGGGAAGGGTTGTTTGTCTGGTGACCCTGGGGCTAAGTGTTGTTTGTCTGGTGACCCTGGGGGCTAAGTGTTGTTTGTCCGGACCCTGGGGCTAAGTGTTGTTTGTCTGGTGACCCTGGGGCTAAGTGTTGTTTGTCTGGTGACCCTGGGGCTAAGTGTGTTGTTTGTCTGGTGACCCTGGGGGCTGTTGTTTGTCTGGTGACCCTGGGGCTGAGTGTTGTTTGTCTGGTGACCCTGGGGCTATGTTGTTTGTCTGGTACCCTGGGTAAGTGTTGTTTGTCTGGTGACCCTGGGGCTAAGTGGTTTGTCTGGTGACCCTGGGGCTAAGTGCTGTTTTTTGTCCTGTGACCCTGGGGGCTAAGTGTGTTGTTTGTGGGTGACCCTAGCTATGTGTTGTTTGTCTGGACCCTGGGGCTAAGTGTTGTTGGTCTGGTGACCCTGCTAAGTGTTGTTTTGTCTGGTGACCCTTGGGGCCAAGTGTGTTGTTTGTCTGGTGACCCTGGGGCTGAGTGTTGCTGCATGGCACCTGGGGCTGGTGTTGTTTGTCTGGTGACCCTGGGGCTAAGTGTTGTTTGTCTGGTGACCCTGGGGCTAAGTGTTTTGTCTGGTGACCCTGGTGTGTTTGTCGGACCCTGGGGCTGGTGTTGTTTGTCTGGTACCCTGGGGCTAAGTGTTGTTTGTCTGGTGACCCTGGGGGCAGTGTTGTTTGTCTGGTGACCCTGGGGCTATGTTGTTTGTATGGTGACCCTGGGGGCAAGTGTGTTGTTTGTCTGGTGACCCTGGGGCTAAGTGTTGTTTGTCTGGTGACCCTGGGGCTAAGTGTGTTGTTTGTCTGGTGACCCTGGGGCTAAGTGTTGTTTGTCTGGTGACCCGGGGCTAAGTGTTGTTTGTCTGGTGACCGGGGCATGTTGTTTGCCTGGTGACCCTGGGGCTAAGTGTTGTTTGTCTGGTGACCCTGGGGCTAAGTGTTGTTTGTCTGGGACCCTGGGGCTAAGTGTTGTTTGTCTGGTGACCCTGGGGCTAAGTGTTGTTTGTCTGGTGACCCTGGGCTAAGTGTGTTGTTTGTCTGGTGACCCTGGGGCTAAGTGTTTGTTTGTCTGGTGACCCTGGGGGCTAAGTGTTGTTTGTCTGGGACCCTGGGGCTAAGTGTGTTGTTTGTCTGGTGACCCTGGGGCTAAGTTTGTTGTTTGTCTGGTGACCCTGGGGGCTAAGTGTTGTTTGTCTGGTGACCCTGGGGCCAAGTGTTGTTTGTCTGGTGACCCTGGGGCTAAGTGTGTTGTTTGTCTGGTGACCCTGGGGGCTAAGTGTTGTTTGTCTGGTGACCCTGGGGGCTAAGTGTTGTTTGTCTGGTGACCCTGGGGCTAAGTGTGTTGTTTGTCTGGTGACCCTGGGGCTAAGTGTGTTGTTTGTCTGGTGACCCGGGCTAAGTGTTGTTTGTCTGGTGACCCTGGGGCTATGTGTTGTTTGTCTGGTGACCCTGGGGCTAAGTGTTGTTTGTCTTGACCCTTGGGGCTAAGTGTTGTTTGTCTGGTGACCCTGGGGGCTAAGTGTTGTTTGTCTGGTGACCCTGGGGCTAAGTGTGTTGTTTGTATGGTGACCCTGGGGCTAAGTGTGTTGTTTGTCTGGTGACCCTGGGGCTAAGTGTTGTTTGTCTGGTGACCCTGGGGCTAAGTGTGTTGTTTGTCTGGTGACCCTGGGGGCTAAGTGTTGTTTGTCTGGTGACCCTGGGGCTATGTTGTTTGTCTGGTGACCCTGGGGCTAAGTGTTGTTTGTCTGGTGACCCTGGGGCTAAGTGTTGTTTGTCTGGTGACCCTGGGGCTGGGTGTGTTGTTGTCTGGTGACCCTGGGGCTAAGTGTGTTGTTTGTATGGTGACCCTGGGGCTAAGTGTGTTGTTTGTCTGGTGACCCTGGGGCTAAGTGTTGTTTGTCTGGTGACCCTGGGGCTAAGTGTTGTTTGTCTGGTGACCCTGGGGCTAAGTGTTGTTTGTCTGGTGACCCTGGGGCTAAGTGTTGTTTGTCTGGTGACCCTGGGGCTAAGTGTTGTTTGTCTGGTGACCCTGGGGCTAAGTGTTGTTTGTCTGGTGACCCTGGGGCTAAGTGTTGTTTGTCTGGTGACCCTGGGGCTGTGTTGTTTGTCTGGTGACCCTGGGGCTAAGTGTTGTTTGTCTGGTGACCCTGGGGCTAAGTGTTGTTTGTTTGGTGACCCTGGGGGCTAAGTGTTGTTTGTCTGGTGACCCTGGGGGCTAAGTGTTGTTTGTTTGGTGACCCTGGGGTGAGATGAAATGCCTCTTGTTACTAATTGACCAAATAATTATATAACTAAATCTTTTTGTATTTAAATAAACCGACAATAAAATACTTTGTGTGTTTGATGAAGAGTTTGACGTGACATATACAGGTATTTATTGTATTGTTGACCTGTAATTGTATCGTAAATATATATATTCCTACGATACTTAAGATTGACGGAGCGGTTATCTGTCTTCCCCTCGCTGCTTCCCAAGACGGTGAATGTTAACTGTGTTGCATAATGAAGGTATTTAATGAAGTGATGTTATCGGCATGAAGGTATAAGTTAATATTATATTTTCCGATATTTAAGGACCGGAAGACAGTTGTCCTTTGTGTCTCTATTACACCACTACAGCTTGTATGTTGCCTTGTGAACACTCTCGCCCTGCCAACATGACGAGCACGGCAGCTGAGGAACACGGCAGCTAAGGAACACGGCAACTGAGGAACACGGCAGCTGAGGAACACGGCAGCTGAGGAACACGGCAACTGAGGAACACGGCAGTTGAGGAATACAGCAACTGAGGAACACGGCAGCTGAGGAATACAGCAACTGAGGAACACGGCAGTTGAGGAACACGGCAGTTGAGGAACACGATAACTGAGGAACACAGCAGCTGAGGAACACGGCAGCAGTGATATTTCTAAACACACCCTAACAAAGAACATTCCTTGTGACTGAATTTATTTTCCTTAAAGTTCAGTCATCAAGTGAGACATTTAGGACCTGTGAGTGTTGTGTCTCAGGTCAAGGAGGGTGAGGTATGGTACCCTGGGTGGTGGGGGTCTTGTTGAGGGGCGTTGTCTTAAGACCGCTCTCATAGTAGTGATGGGCATGATGATAGTAGTAGTGGTTAGTAGTTAATAGTAGTAGTATTAGTTAGTAGTAGTCTTGGTAGTTAGTGGTAGTAGTATTTAGTAGTAATTGTTTATATTAGTAGTTACTTTTAGTCGTAGTATTAATAGTTATAGTAGGAATAAAAACAGAGATCAGAATTAATAAACAAAGAGATGGATTTTTCTATTATTTTCCGTGAATGAGAACCTAACACCAAGCCGGGAGCCTCGGGGGACCACTGACCTGAATTATTGACAAATATTCTTAGGTTTTCGTAATTATGGGAAGAGAAGCAAAAAAAAAAATATCCCAGATGGTGTTTATATTATTGTATGTGACGAGGGGAAGGGGTGGAAGTCAACACACACACACACACACACACACACACACACACACACACACGCTGTGGAGGCGGGGATTCAAAATGGCATTGAAATTACTCTGAGACTGTACTTGTACCCGGATGTGGTGTCTTTATTCTCAGTTACAGCAAAAAATAAAATAATAATAATAATAAAAAAATAGATAAATCCCGGACCTTTGATGTGGTAAAGCTTAATAAGTCATGTGACTTGTGACAATAACAGATTATTATATATTATTATTTTGTTTTTGTTTTTCGAACCCGATAAACACATATTTTAAATACGACACACACACACACACACACACCAAGATCAATACGGAAAATACGAGGAATAAAACCGATAGGTATCAGTATAGAGCAGACGACTAATGTGACGCTAGACATGATCTCCTGACTAACACAACACCCAGTATTATCAAGTCTGCCAGCGAGTCGAGAAAAAACCCACATGTGAAGCTGTGAACCATATATCAGGTGAACCTGGCCTCTGGTACCACAGTAATAGTAATGACTACAGTATTGACCACTGATTTACTGCAGCGTAAAACCTGTTGTGCCACCACACACTAACTCTTACTTATCAATTTTCTCATTATGGCTAAACAATTGTGGATGAGTTATGTGCGTCAGTGACTTGACACACACTCCACACACACACACGCAGGATGTTGACGGTGGTGTGTTGTGAGGGTATCTTGTGTTGATGGTGGTGTGTTGTGAGGGTATCTTGTGTGTTGATGGTGGTGTGTTGTGAGGGTATCTTGTGTTGATGGTGTGTGTTGTGAGGGTATCTTGTGTTTGATGGTGGTGTGTTGTGAGGTGATCTTGTGTTGATGGTGGTGTGTTGTGAGGGTATATTGTGTTGATGGTGGTGTGTTGTGAGGGTATCTTGTGTTGATGGTGGTGTGTTGAGGTATCTTGTGTGTTGATGGTGGTGGTGTGTTGTGAGGGGATATTGTGTTGATGGTGGTGTGTTGGTGGGTATCTTGTGTTGATGGTGGTGTGTTGTGAGGGTATCTTGTGTGTTGATGGTGGTGTGTTGTGAGGGTATATTGTGTTGATGGTGGTGTGTTGTGAGGGTATCTTGTGTTGATGGTGGTGTGTTGTGAGGGTATCTGTGTGTTGATGGTGGTGTGTTGTGAGGGTATCTTGTGTATGGTGGTGTTGTGAGGGTATCTTGTGTTGATGGTGGTGTGTTGTGAGGGTATTGTTTGTTGTGAGGGTATCTTGTGTGTTGATGGTGGTGTGTTGTGAGGGTATCTTGTGTTGATGGTGTGTTGTGAGGGTATCTTGTGTTGATGGTGGTGTGTTGTGAGGGTATCTTGTGTGTTGATGGTGGTGTGTTGTGAGGGTATATTGTGTTGATGGTGGTGTGTTGTGAGGTATCTTGTGTTGATGGTGGTGTGTTGTGAGGGTATCTTGTGTGTTGATGGTGGTGTGTTGTGAGGGTATTTGTTGATGGTGGTGTGTTGAGGGTATCTTGTGTTGACGGTGGTGTGTTGTGAGGGTATCTTGTGTTGATGGTGGTGTGTTGTGAGGGTATCTTGTGTGTTGATGGTCGTGTTGTGAGGGTATCTTTGTGTTGATGGTGGTGTGTTGTAAGGGTATCTTGTGTTGATGGTGGTGTGTTGTGAGGGTATCTTGTGTATGGTGGTGTGTTGTGAGGTATCTTGTGTGTTGATGGTGGTGTGTTGTGAGGGTATCTTGTGTTGATGGTGGTGTGTTGTGAGGGTATCTTGTGTTGATGGTGGTGTGTTGTGAGGGTATCTTGTGTTGATGGTGGTGTGTTGTGAGGGTATCTTGTGTTGACGGTGGTGTGTTGTGGGTATCTTGTGGTGTGTGAGGGATCTTGTGTTGATGGTGGTGTGTTGTGAGGGTATCTTGTTGATGGTGGTGTGTTGTGAGGGTATCTTGTGTTGATGGTGGTGTGTTGTGAGGGTATCTTGTGTTGATGGTGGTGTGTTGTGAGGGTATCTTGTGTTGATGGTGGTGTGTTGTGAGGGTATCTTGTGTTGACGGTGGTGTGTTGTGAGGGTATCTTGTGTTGATGGTGGTGTGTTGTGAGGGTATCTTGTGTTATGGTGGTGTGTTGTGAGGGTATCTTGTGTTGATGGTGGTGTGTTGTGAGGGTATCTCTTGTGTTGATGGTGGTGTGTTGTGAGGGTATCTTGTGTTGATGGTGGTGTGGGAGGTATCTTGTGTTGATGGTGGTGTGTTGTGAGGTATCTTGTGTTGACGGTGGTGTGTTGTGAGGGTATCTTGTGTTGATGGTGGTGTGTTGTGAGGGTATCTTGTGTTGATGGTGGTGTGTTGTGAGGGTATCTTGTGTTGATGGTGGTGTGTTGTGAGGGTATCTTGTGTTGATGGTGGTGTGTTGTGAGGGTATCTTGTGTTGATGGTGGTGTGTTGTGGGGGTATCTTGTGTTGATGGTGGTGTGTTGTGAGGGTATCTTGTGTTGATGGTGGTGTGTTGTGAGGGTTATCTTGTGTTGATGGTGGTGTGTTGTGAGGGTATCTTGTGTTGATGGTGTGTTGTAGGGATTTGTGTTGATGGTGGTGTGTTGTGAGGGTATCTTGTGTTGACGGTGGTGTTGTGAGGATTGTGTTGATGGTGGTGTGTTGTGAGGTATCTTGTGTTGACGGTGGTGTGTTGTGGGGTATCTTGTGTTGATGGTGGTGTGTTGTGAGGGATTGTGTTGATGGTGGTGTGTTGTGGGGGTATCTTGTGTTGATGGTGGTGTGTTGTGAGGGTATCTTGTGTTGACGGTGGTGTGTTGTGAGGGTATCTGTATGGTGGTGTTGTGAGGGATCTTGTGTTGAGGTGGTGTGTTGTGAGGGTATCTTGTGTTGATGGTGGTGTGTTGTGAGGGTATCTGTGTTGATGGTGGTGTGTTGTGAGGGTATCTTGTGTTGATGGTGGTGTGTTGTGAGGGTATCTTGTGTTGATGGTGGTGTGTTGTGAGGGTATCTTGTGTTGATGGTGGTGTGTTGTAGGGTATCTTGTGTTGATGGTGGTGTGTTGGGGTATCTTGTGTTGACGGTGGTGTGTTGTGAGGGTATCTGTGTTGATGGTGTGTTGTGAGGGTATCTTGTGTGTTGATGGTGGTGTGTTGTGAGGGTATCTTGTGTTGATGGTGGTGTGTTGTGAGGGTATCTTGTGTGTTGATGGTGGTGTGTTGTGAGGGTATCTTGTGTTGATGGTGGTGTGTTGTGAGGGTATTTGTGTGTTGATGGTGGTGTGTTGTGGGGGCATCTTGTGTTGATGGTGGTGTGTTGTGAGGGTATCTTGTGTTGATGGTGGTGTGTTGTGAGGGTATCTTGTGTTGATGGTGGTGTTGTGAGGGTATCTTGTGTTGATGGTGGTGTGTTGTGAGGGTATCTTGTGTGTTGATGGTGGTGTGTTGTGAGGGTATCTTGTGTTGATGGTGGTGTGTTGTGAGGGTATCTTGTGTTGATGGTGGTGTGTTGTGAGGGTATCTTGTGTGTTGTGGGGATATATATACCCTGTGTGTGTTGGAGGTATCTGTCAGCTGCAGACCGACTCTATCCTTTCATTAATCACTATCTATCCTGGAATTAAAGAGCGGAGGTTAGGAATGACTGGAGGAAGAGAGGTGGAGGTTAGGAATGACTGCAGGAAGGGAGTGGAGGTTAGGAATGACTGGAGGAAGGGAGTGGAGGTTAGGAATGACTGGAGGAAGGAGTGGAGGTTAGGAATGACTGGAGGAAGGGAGTGGAGGTTAGGAATGACTGGAGGAAGGGAGTGGAGGTTAGAATGACTGGGGGAAGAGAGTGGAGGTTAGGAATGACTGGAGGAAGGAGTGGAGGTTAGGAATGACTGGAGGAAGGGAGTGGAGGTTAGGAATGACTGGAGGAAGAGAGAGTGGAGGTTAGGAATGACTGGAGGAAGGGAGTGGAGGTTAGGAATGACTGAGGAAGAGAGGAGGTTGGAATGACTGGAGGAAGGAGTGGAGGTTAGGAATGACTGAGGAAGGGAGGGAAAGGAATGACTGGAGGAAGGGAGTGGAGGTTAGGAATGACTGGAGGAAGGGAGTGGAGGTTAGGAATGAGGGAGGAAGGAGTGGAGGTTAGGAATGACTGGAGGAAGGAGTGGAGGGTAGGAATGGTTGGAAGGAGAGAGTGAAGGAAGAGAGAGTGAAGGGAAGAGAGAGTGAAGGAAGAGAGAGGAAGGAAGAGAGAGGAAGGAAGAGAGAGTGAAGGAAG